AAGCTGCGGTTATTATAGGGGAGATGGCACAAGTCAGGAGGGAAGCAATGGACCCATCACACATGTTTTCTTAGTCTGGTATGTGTTCTAACAGTAAAATTCAAATCTGAACACACTTAAGACTTCATTTCTATATGTTATACTATTATTCAAAAAGTTAAAAATAGTGGCCTTGTGTTTATGTTCACATCTATATCCCAGTACCTCAAGAGGCTGAGGCAGGTATTGTGAGTTTTGTAGGCCAGCCTGGCATATATAGGAAATCAAGAACACCCTGGAGCTTACATAGTAAGATCTCATCTCAAAAGAATCAAAAATGGGATGGGTTATGATGGTGCACACCTGTAATCTCAGCTACTCAGGAGGCAGAAGTAAAAGGAACACAGTCCAATCACAGGTCCAGGCAAAAGCCTAATAACCTATCTAAAAACAATGTGCTCTATTCTGCTCTGTCACATTCTCCCCACAGGATAGACTGACCCTGTGAAACCATATAGCTGAAAAATTTGCTTTTTTTAAAAAAATATAATTAAAAAAAATGACTGGGGATATAGCTCAAGTGATAGAGTACTTGGCCTAGCAAGCAGGAGGCCTTGAGTTAAGTTCTGTACTTCCCCCCATCAAAAAAAATTTTTAAAGGATAAAAGAACAGTTAAAAATAAAGTACTATGTTATCCTTTTTTAAGTATTTCTAACCATGCCATAGTTTTATAAGCATCTATCTTTTTAAAGATCACTATTCCCCTCTGCTTAAAAGATATAATTTATGACTATGAGAAAAATATTTTTGTAAAGCTGAACATTTCTAAGGCCACTAATTAAGAATTCAAGTCCACAGAATACTTATGTACATTGCCTCTCTATAACTCTTCTTTCACTTGATTAGGCTCTTTTTTTGCGGGGGGGGGGGGGGGGGGGGGGGATTCCACCACTTTAGCCGTATCTTCAGCTCCCTTTCTTTGTTCTTTAGAGAAAGTTTTCACATAGCTCTTACTCTACTGCTAAGATTGACTGTCAGTGCTTTAGACTCCCTTAAGAGTAATCAATCCCATGGCTTTTCAAGGAAAGAAAAAAACACAGAAATCCATTATAATAACTAAAGGGAGCAGGGTACCTTGCACTTTTTTACTCAAGTGCTCCTGAACAGCGGTAGAGATAGTTGATAATACACAAATGGCCAGTCACTTGTGAAGAGTTTTCATTCTCTTTGGAATTTGTTTCTCCTACAAAAGATAGGATAAATAAGCATAAAAGAAAGTTCATTAATCATTTTTGCTTTATTAGTAACTATATTTTTAAAAATTTAGATCCTACTTTCCTATACACAGGCCTTAGGCCTTTTTGTACATTATTCTAAGTCATTTGACTATCTTAAAATGAAAGTTAAAATAGGCAGCTTTTTAAATTTTCATTTCAAAAATAAAATCTAATTTGTTAAACTACTAAACTATATATAGTAAACAATTTCAGTGATATCATCTTCTGGATGAGGGAAAAGTATAGGGTCAGAAAACAGATCAGTGGTTGACAAAGCAGTGTGACTACAAAGGGCATGAAGGAACTTTTTTGGGTAGTGATAAAACTATCTCAATTATTAGATTTAGAAACTATTCAATATTTGTGTATCACAACATACTAGGATTATACAGTAAAATATAACTGTATCTCTCAAAACACAAAAATTATACAGTTAAAACTAGTAACTCTTACTGTATATAAATTATAACTCAATTTTATCCTAGAAAATTATGTTCAGTAGGATCAAACCAGTAAGTATTACAAAGATGGATATATTTTTAAAAAATGTTTTAACTTTAAAAATCTTACAAGAGATCAACTAGTCTATCAAATAATCTAATACATTATATCAAATACTCATTATAGAGAAGACTTGCTTTCAAGTATTATAAATTAACTTGTATTTGACTTGCCCTACCAGAGCAACTAAAAAACTGAGCAAATAAAAGAAACAACTATTTTCAGACATTGGACAAGAAGCAGTACAAGGGCTATTGGAGTGGCTCAAGTGATTAAAGTGCTTGCCTTGCAAGCATGAGGCTCTGAGTTCAAACCCCAGTCCCACTTAAACAAAAATTAATACTAGAGAAGCAAACTATGGGGTGATGAAGTGATTTCCACAAGGAGAAAAAGGTCCCATATGAAGAATGGCCCCATACTAAAGGAGGAGAAAAAAAATGAGAAGTCCACGTAGACTGAAGTGCTAAGGGCTTTCTGGAAAGAAGGCGGCAGGTGGGGCTGCTGCTCACAGGAGACTTGCTGTAGCTGTCTCCCATGCACCATCCTACAGTGCTGCCTCCTCTGACCACATCCACTGCCTCCTTCCTAGACCTCTCTGAGCACTCATGAAGCAGAAAGGAACAAATGTAAGGAGAGATGCTGCCACAAGGCCCCAAGAGAACAATGAGTGAGATGGATGGTGACAACCCAAAATTGTATTCCTGCTGGCAGATAAGTGAAGCATTTGCATAAAATGTAAAAACTAACAACTGTTGCTACACCTGATTTTAGCCAAAAGGCCGAGAAGTGACTGAAAAAAAAAAGAGGCAGTACAAGACTTTGGTCCAGGAAAAAAGAGGAACAAAGTAGCCCCTACAACCTAGTTGTCTTACTGTCTACAGAAACTTTCCAAACCAAACACAAGGAAGAGACACCCAAACAGAGCAGAGCAATGACAATGAATGGAATCACAGAAAGACTAGAATCAGAGGATGAAACATCTACAATTTGCAAGTGGTAAAACTTATAGGATGCAGCTATATAAGTAAAAAGTTCCAAGAACCTACACAAGAATGCCCTTGTGTCTTTGGCTGAACCCTATATGGCTCAGGTACTAGAAGATTCCATAAGCCTGGAAAAAGAACTACTATGGAGTAGTAAGCTAAACAATCCTTAGAGCTCATTGCTAGGCTGAAACATCTGATTTCGGCCAATGAGGTAAACACCTGGAGATTAGGTAGAGCTTTCAGAAGAGTCAGGCCTCAGCAGTAGAGATAAACCAGTCCTTCCAGCAAAGGCTTCTATAAACTCACTATAAACAACCTTAGTAATGTCTTACAAGTATCAATCTAAGCTACTGTAACTAACCGCCAAAAAAAGGAAAACAGAAGACAACATCCTTAAAGGAACATGACAAAAATCCCTACAAGATGACCGAATGATTTTCACTGGTAGCCTCTACTAACCTCAAAATTCTGAGAAGACACATCTTGGCTACAATATCCATACCCTTGGCAGTGATATTAACCTTCCTCCTTAGGAACTTCAGAAGATGGAAGGACTTATCAAAAAGCAATTGATTATAATCTAGAAAAGTTCTCATTATTAAACTCATTATAAATCCATATAACCTCCACTGATTGTTATAAGGTCTCTCCCCCATGGGCAACAAATAATAAACCTAAACCTATTGCTCCATGCTAGTCTCCTGAGATATAAAAGAACCAGCATATTCTCCCAATCTCCCTTTCTTAGATTTTCATATTCAATATGCATAATTTGCCTCTAACTTTTTAAGAGCCTAATTTTAGATATCTCATTAATTCTAGCTTTCCAGTGCCCTTCTGAAAACATGGCCCTGGGTGGCAGACATTCTTCAAGTATTTATGAAGACAATACTGTTTACATATTCAAAGCCACTTCTACCACTCCCTTTCCTTGCCTGCTAAATCCAACTCCTGATATGGAAGTTTCCGATAAGGCCCACAACTTCCTCTCCCAGTATCTCTTGTTGTTATAGCATAAACTTAAGACCCTATTCTAGACAATGGCATCTGAGAAGAAATATGCTGGGGGCTGCTAGGAAAAAGTTTGCTTTCTTTAAAGGGAAAAAAATGCATTAGGAGAAATGACACTGCCTGTCCACTTAATCCTGAATCTGAGTATATCTGTTTTAGAACATATACTTGCACCTGCAGTATAATCTGGCAAACACTGAAAAATCCAACAAAGAAAACTGGAGAGAAGCCAACACAGACCTCTAACATCACAAACTATCACTGCAACAGCCTACTTCTGGAGTTCTTGAGTGAGAAAAATACTCATTTTTCTTCACATATTCTGTTAGTTGCAGCTGAAGTAGTCTAACTAATGCAGGCATCACTAAGAAACTGTGCCTCAAATTCATATACACAGTCCTTTGTAGCCATGTCTTCAAAATGTGTTCCTGTCTCCTGTACACTGACCCATGGACAAGTGACAAGGTTAAACCAATCTAATTCTGTCTCTTAGAAAAATCAGAAATGGAAATAACTGGTGCCGTTTGGTCTCTGAAGGGCATGTACACCAGGATTCAATATAAAGTTGGAGCTGGGAAAGATAAGCAAAGTCAGTCTGCTTAAAGAAAAATTATATAGACAGGCAAAAAGTCCCAACAATGAGAGACAATAATGCCTCTAAAATATCAAGAAAGCAAATCAGGTCTTTAAAAACTTTCTATTTTCTAGTCCCAGACCTTCCTGATCTCAAGTGATAACTATGTTCTTTATAGAGGTTTCCCTTTGATCAAGACAAACCTCTAAGAATAAAACTTCACAAAAACCAAAAAAAAAGCCCAAACTAACACATGAAAATATTCTTTCTTTTAATGTGATAGATTCAAATCCAGCTAACTCTTATTTGTTGCTTACTCAATTATGCCAAGCAAAATGTTAAGCAATACTCATAGCCTACATTCATGGCCTTATTACTTGATGTTTACTTCACAGATGCAGAAAGTGAAGAGATACCAGACTTCTACATGACAGCTAAAGATTCCAAATCCTCTTTTCTCACCAGCCCCATGATGTCCTAAGTATTAGATGTTCACTAAGATCTGAGAAAATGAGCTCATTGTTCCATTTCAGTCCAAACTTCTGGGTCTTAATGTTTCTATATACTGACCTCCTGCATGCGTGACTTCAGTTGAAATTTCATTGGGATTAGGAATTCCTAGGGAAGTCTCTGCCTTTCAATGACATTTGAAATACTTTGTCCTAGTGAGAAAAATGATTAATTTTTTTTTGCTTTTTGTTACCAAAACTGAAAAAAAACAACCAAAAAATTAAGCTTGCATATATTTTTCAAATTATTATGGCTACAAGACATGTTTTAACAACATATAACTAATCCTTCAGACTATCCCCTTACTAAAACAAAACAAAACAAGAAATAAGAGGAGAGGGGATGGAAGACAGCAGTGGAAGGGGTGAATTCAAGTATGATTTATTTGATACATTGTAAGAACCTTTGTAAATGCTACAATGTACCCCAACTGGCACAACAATAAAAAATAAATTTTTTAAAAAAGATTTTATTAGGACCAATTGAACTAATTCAGAAGCCTGTGACAAAATATTATTTCTTGGAAATAAGTATTATACTACACTTTTAAAAAATACAAATTCATCATCACCAAAGAATAGGCTTATATAACAATTCCCAAACTTCAATTTTCTAACAAGAAAATGCTGCAAATTTTTTACAGCAAATTATGTTGAAAAAAAAACTGATATTGATGGGCAGTATATCAGCCCATCACTACCAGTCATCTTCAAATGATACAGCTTTGAATAAACACAGCAGGAAATTAACAAGTCATTTATTATACAAACCTATAGAAAATGCACACAAAAAATAATGAAACCACTGATGACCTTACCCACTGTGGCTACTGTAGCTGAGGCTGAGGAGAGTAAGGACTTGCCCCAGCTGCCCCAGTAGCCCCAACTGGTCTGCGGTACATCTTTGGAAACAGCCTCCTATTGTTCCCAGTAAGAGAAAAAAAAGACACAAGAAAATAGAAAAGTTAGAGGAAAATCAGCGTGTACAGATAAGGTATCTATTTATTAAACAAAGTATGGGTGAACAAAAATACACATTGGCTAAAAAATACTTTGCTTGACTGACAGATGTTAAGTTATCATCACGTATCCACTATGTAGCAAAGCTAATTACTTATGAAGCACTTATAGAACTGAGAAAATTGTAAGAAGGAAATAAATGCAATCCTAAATTAGTACTGATCCCAAATCTCTTTTAACCCCAACATTTCTAAATTCTCAATATTTTAATAGATACTCTACTTTGCAGCAGCCTATGATACCTGAGCAGCGAGAACTTTTGAAGTCTCAAGGTCACTGGAAGGTTTGACCTCTGGTCTTTTCCGAGTAGACACTACAGGTTCTGATTTACTCTCTGGCTTGGCACTTTGGTCAACAGACTCAGAATTCTCAGCTGGCTCACAGTTTCCATCTTCATGGATGAAGTTTGCTTCAGTTACCACTGGTGTCTCAATACCATCTTTATCTGACATGATTAGAACATCACCTGGTGAAATAAAAGCCCCCCAAAATTATTTAGATAGTATTTTGTATAAATTATTTAATGCCTTTTTGAGATTTTCATAGATGCACATGCAGGTACAACAATACAGAAAGACCCCACATAACTTCACCCATTTTCCCCCATTAACAACTTTCCTAACTGCAGTATAATATCATGATCAAGAAACTGACAATGCTTGGTGCCTATGGCTCACAACTATAATCCTAGCTACTTGGGAGGCTGAGATCAAGGGGAATCACAGTTCAAGGCATTCCAGGCAAATAATATCCAAGACCCCATCTCCAAAATAACCAAAACAAAATGAGCTGGAGTGTGGCTCAAGCAGTAGAGTGCCTGCTTTGCAAGCTCAGAGTCCTGAGTTCAAACTTCACTCCCAAGGAAAAAACTGATATTGATATAACCCATCAATCTCATTCAAATTTTACCAATTTTACAGGCACTCATTTGTTTGTAAATTAGTTTTACCCCACAGAATTATTCCTTGGTATCCACAAGGAATTGGTTCCAGGACCCTGGCTGACAAACTATGTGATGATCAAGTTCCCTATACAAAATGGTGTAGAATCTGCATATAGCCTATGTACATCCTCTCATATACTTTCATCATCTCTAAACTATTTGTAATACCTAATACAATGTAAATGCTATGCACGTAGTTGTTAAATTATTTAGGGAACACTGACTAGAAGAAAGTCTGTACAATTTCAGTACAGATGAAATTTTTTTCCAAATATTTTCGATCTGCAGTTGGCTGAATCTGCAGATGTGGAACCCATGAATATGGAGGGCCAACTCCATACATTCTCGTCACCTACAGTCAACACACAACACAATTCAATTGTGAGGATCCCGTGTTACCCTTTTTAGTTACAAACACTTACCAGCACTTCTTCCAGTTCAAGGCAACCAATTGCCGATCTGTTTTCTGTCTCCGAAATTGTCATTTCAAGACATATAAATGAAATCATTCAATGTTACCTTTTGAGAATAACTTTTGTTTAAACTCAGCCTAAGTCCCTCCAGATCCACTTTTGTTGTATTAAAAGTCCTTATTATTTCAGAGTAGTATTTCATGGTATGAATGTATCAAATTTAACGATTTACCCACTGAAGTTTAATGTGTGCTAATTTCAGTCTGGGATTATTACATAAATAAAATAACTATGAAAGTTCATATACAGGTTTTTATGTGAACATAAGCTTTCTTTTCTCTGGAAAAAATGATTAAGTATAATCACTGAGTCATATAGTATAGTCATATAAACATACTAAATGTATGTTTAGCTTTACATGACACTGTCATACTCTTTTCCTATGTAGTATACCATTTTACTTTCCTACCTATAATGTATAAATGATCAAGTTTCTCTATATTCTGACCAGCTTTTGTGTTGTCACTCTTTTTTGGTTGAGCCATTTTGATAGGTATGTGGTAATATCTTACTGTGGCTTAATGCAACTTAAGTTGCAATTCTCTAATGGCTAATGATGCTGGGCATCTTTTCCTGTGCTTATTTGCCATCTGATTATCCTCTTTGGTAAAATATCTATTTGTATCTTTTGCTCATTTTCTCATATTTTTTTCTGTTGAGTTTTAAGATCTCTTCATATATTCTACATTCAAGTCCTCTAATGTGGGGTTTGCAAATATTTTATCCCAGTCTATAGCTTATCTTTCCATTGTCTCCACAGGGCCTTTTACCAAGCAAGTTTTCACTTTGATGAGGTCCTTTTTTTTATCAATTTTTCCTTTCACTGGCTGTCCTCAAAGTTATATAAATTACTTCAACCTCAATTTTTTCAGATGTGATTACTTAAGCCATCAAAAATCATTTTTGTCAGACTATTTTTTTTTGTAGTACTAGGGATTGAACTCGGAGTACCTACCACTTAAAGTACAATCCCAATCCTTTTGCTTTAATTTGTTTTCTAAGATAGGGTTTCATGCTTTTGCCCAGGCAGGTCTCAAGAGTGTGATCCTCCTACCTGTGCATCTCAAATATCTGTGATTACAAGCATGCAACACCAAGCCGAGCCTTTTAAAATTAATATTCATTGTAAATACACCAACATTGTATTGGTATTTGGATCATTTGATGTAACAGAGAAATTACCGAATTATATTTCTTATTTAATTTTGCAGTGCTCGGAATAGAATCCAGGGCCTCACACATACTAGACAAGGGCTCTACCACTGAGCTACACCATTGGCCCCTCAGATCAGTTTTTTAATAGCAGTATTACCCAATTCAATTCTTTCCAGAAGCAGAGACTGCAATTGAAGTTAATATCCTATTGGTACTCTACAAAGAGCATATAATAGTTTACAGGATAACCAATTAACACCAGAGAAGAAATAAGTATCTCACATATACATATATACACATGCCTTAGGTATGTATAAATATATTTTACACAGATATGTACTAAGTACAGCATAGATGCATGGCATCAAAATGAAGGAAGACATATTAAGAACTAAGACAGGCACTGCATTATAATTGAAATACACAAAAATGCTAAAAGAACAGAAGCCGTCCGTTTGAATCAGGGAATTTGATTCATACATAAAGTAACTGAAATAAGCCTACAGCAGTGGTCTCAAACTGGAAATCTGAATGGCAAATACTTCCTACAGATGTTTTTAATTGGCCTGTGTTCAAAACTTTTAAAACTAGTTACTAATTTAAAATTCAATCTTCAGGGCTGAGGTTGTAGCGTAAGTAGTACAGCACCAGCCTAGCAAGTGGGGGTGGGAAGGTGGGGAATCAGTCTTCATATAAAAATACAAGTTCCCAACCTCCCTTGGGAGGTTGAAAAATGTGGTAACATGGGGCCCATATTTGACTGGGTAGTAACTACCTCATGCCAAACAGCAATTGGACTTTTAGGGCACTGCTCTCCCATACCCTGCAATCTCCACTCAAATCCACTTAATTCACTTAGGTTAACCTGATTAGTCCCACAAACACTGAGCTTTCAACACCTGCCCTAAGGGGTCTGTAGGATTTTGACAGATAAAAATGCTAATGAGAGAATTCAAGGGTACAAAACAACACAGAAAAGCTCAAAGGAATAAGTAAAGTGATGCAGTCAGTTATGTGGAGTTAATTTATCAGGGAGAAAAACAATAGGGAGGCATGAAACTAGAAGATGTGTTAAGACAACACCAAGGAGCCAAGACTATGTGGGTATAAGATACACAGATATACAGATATATAATACATTCCCAAAATTCAGAGAGAAAAAGAATCTAAATACAACTACCAACATAGAACAATCCAACTTAGAAGTACTCATTCTCTCATGGCAAACATCTTTTCCATTCCCACCATGTACCAAGCTCTAGAGATAACATTAAGGCAACGTCTGCGCCACTCTTACGTAATAGGAAATAACACACAGTTTGTGTACAAAGTTCAATGATTTTGTAGATGAATAAGTATGTGTTGGTTTTTTTTTTTTTTTACTGTGTTCCTTGCGCTCTTTCCAGGTTCAACACAAAACAATAGTAGTACACTATATGTACTTTGTATATAATAAACTTACTGCATAAATTCATATAATTTTATAAAAGACCATGTCATACCCAAAATACTAAACACTGGTTTATCCCTGTTCTTTCATTTATGCAACAAGGACCAAAGATTTAATGAGCATGTAGAATGTGCCAGGAATTTAGGCTAGGCAGGAAGAGAACTGTTTTGTGGTGATGGCTGTTTATATTATTATTACTAGGAAGGCTGTTCTCAACGGATTCATAATCTAGCGGCAAAAGCAAAGCTAAATGCACCGAGTACATGGAATCGCGCAATTAATGTTTTTGTAAGTTTTCCAGGGGTTTTGTGGTGTGTGTTTAATTCATAAATTAGAAGGGAGAGATACCAGAAAATTAAGTGACCCGCATTTTTAAGAAAAGTAAAGCATACAACTTGCACGGCCACCCGTTCCCACCCGGTTAGCGCGAGGTCCGCGCGGGGCTCGCAACGCAGATTCAACCGCGGCTGCTAGCGTTTGTGGTCTGTATCCTTACTGACGCTCATAATATGGCTGTCTCCGGTGGACAAACAAGCTTTCTCACCTCTTCCCACATCCAAAAGCAGGTGGTCCCAAACCCGAGCTCTGGTGTCAACAAGCGACCCTAAGCGCTGACACGACAAGGACCAGAACGCCTCACAAAAACACAGCGCTTCAATTACCAAAGCGCTTTCACAGCCCGCACGGTGGGCAGCCTCTTCCCCGCCCTAGCGACCTCGGCGGCGGGGACCGACTACTAAACCTTGCACCCGTGTCACTCGGGTAGCCCCCACTCAGCTAGCCGCCACCCTCACCACAGCTGCCACGGCTGACGCACCTCTCCTATTGCCCCGGAAGTACTCTCTGAGCTCGGGGGCGGGGCGCGCCTGCCTGACAACACATCCGGGTCATGCATCTGCTCGGGCGGAAGGAACCCGGCTCCGGTTCGGTGAGTGAGGGCTTGGAAGCGGTATCCTCAAGGGAGGTGCTGAGGGTGCTGAACGCTGGTCAGTAGTTAGTGAGTCGGGGCCGGATGTGAAGGAGGTTGGGATAGCTGCCCTCGTTTTGAAGTGAGCTTATGAGTTTGGTCATTGATTGAACATTTAGTAAGCCAAATACCCGCTAGCGCTGTCCTCGCGCCCTGCTCACAAGTCACTGCATTTTGGTGGACGAAGTAGACCATATGCAAGTTAACAAAGCCGGATTACCTGAGATGGTAGTTGAGTGCTTTGAAGAAATTTGCACAGATAAGGGAACGGAACGAAGCAAGGGAGCAATAAACCTTATAAAGATCTGGAGTACGGCATTCCAGGCAGAGGCACTAAATAGCCAATTCAAAGGCCCGAAAGTGGGAACAGACTTAGCAGTGAAGGAAAAGAAAAAGGCCCCTGCAGCTAGAGGATACAAGCAAGATACGAAGGGAGAGAGATGAGGCCAGAGACTTGGGCTCCGAGTTTTACCAGGCCTATGAGCCAAGGTAATGAATTTGACTTTCACATGAAACTCAGTGGGAAACGACTGAAGGTTTCTAAACTGTGGAAATGCATGAAACCCAGACTGACATAGCCACAAAGGCATTAAAGACAACCTTATTGGGAGATGTGAAAATTTGAATCGTACAGAGGTAAAGGGTTGGGATAGAGCTAGTGGTAGAGCACTTGCTTAGCGTGTGCAAGGCCCTCGATTTGATTCTCAGCACCGCAAAAAAAAAAAAAAAAAAGGATCCAGGTGTTCCTTCTTCATTCAGTGCTTTCAGAAATAACAATTGCCATTTTCTAAAACCCTTTAAGAAATTTTCCTTTGCTTTTGATGGTAATTTTCTAAATTTAGGTGCATTAGTATCACCAGGGGGCTTGTTAAACAATGCTTATTCCAAAAAATAAATTGTATTTAAAAAGCATAAAATGGATAATTACCTCCGTTTTCCTGCTGTAATAGAAAAATGTATAGAATTGGGGGCTTAGGTATTTTGGTAAATTTGACTATCTTAATTATATCTTTAGCATATAATAATTGCAGCAGTTGTCAAACTTTTTGGTCTTAGAATTCCTTCACACTTTTTAAAACTGAGAACTTCAAAGAGTTTCTGTTTATGTGGGCTATCAATATTTGCATTTTGGAAATCAAAAGTTAATTTAAATAGTTAATTTACTTTAAAATAATAAACTCATTGCATGACAACCAGCATTTTGATAAATATTTTCCAAAATAAAAGTACTGAAAATGGAAATGTTTACATTTTCACAAATCTCTTTAATGTCTGTCTTAATAGAATACAGCTAGATTCACATTTCTCCTGAATTCTCAAGTATCACTTATCATGTAGGCTCTAGAAAATTGCACCATGTATTAGAATGACAAAAGTCTCAGAGTCACCTAGAAGTCCCTGCAGCACGTTGGAGAATTGCTGAACTGCGGTGTTGTCATTCCAGTCTCTCTATTGATAGTTTCCAGAGCCTAAAAATCTGTAAAGTTATTAAGAAACTTGTAGCAGACACCTTTCTGACTATCAAATTGATGAGTATCTGAGCTCAAAATGTTGAGCTCTTGCCCCAGGCTGTGGTCCTTTGCCATGGATGTGAGAAGACTATCATTTAAGGCTCTCATTCATAAACTTACAGGCTTCCAAACAGATAACTCAAGTCTTAAAATAGAGTACTCTCAGTATTCTAGGGACTGACAGAGGAAAGAAATTCATCCAAAACAAAAATGGTAGGGGTGAAAGTTAAGATGAGTTTAACTCTCAATAAGATGAAGTTCAGAGTTGTATGGTATAGAGCATGTAGAATTTCCACAGGAAGGTATTGATGGGAAGGACAAAAAGTTTTAGGCAAAAGGAGCAACTAGAACCAGAACTTTAAAGTGAAAGCTATTTAGAGAAAAGAGAGAGAAACAAACATAATTGAGGCTTTGTGTCAAGGCAGGAAAGATTTGTAGGATTTACACAAAGAAAGGCTGATAATGATGATCAGCCTCCATATGAGAAAACTAGACCACATCAGGCCTAATAAGTGATAGAAGTGCAACCGAAGACCGTATCAAACTAAATCCCATACATTACTTCAGCAAGCAATTTTTGCAACATATGCTGCTATGCTTCTTGCTCTACCACCTAAATCTCTTCATGAAGAATTACGGATGCTAGACTGGAATTTTAAGCTTATCTCATAGATTGTTTTAAATTTTCTTGACTTACTTGGATTTGTATTTAGGACTACTGCCTCTGAAAGGCAGTGTTTGGATATATCAAAGCAGGTAAGATTGGAGTTAGATCCATTTATCATGGATAGTGTGGTACCCAGATAGAATGAAAGGACTATAACCTAGGGCAGGGACAGTAGAACTTAAGTGAAAAACATCTTGAATGTGAAATAATAACCTCATCATGTGTTTATAATTTACACAACATCATGTATCTATAATTAGATGGATATCTGATCCTTAAGACTGCCCTGGGAGGTAGTTAACTGTTACTAACTTCATTCAACAGGCATAAAGGCTAAGGCCATTTGAACCCAGGTTTCACCCAGGGGTAGGGCCCGCTACTCTAACAGCAATGCCTATATTCTTAACCACTAAGCCTATAGTCCTATAATTTTGGCATTACAAAACTGGATATGGCTATCATCCAAGCTATGCATACGCTGGACAAATAGATCTGAGGTGGAAGTGATGAATTATTTTAGATATACTGAATGAATGAACCAGATGTTTCAGGCTATAGGAACTTCATGACGTCTAATACCTGGTTAGCAGTATCTATGACAAAAGGATAAACGTCATAGGTATAATGGAAGTATCCCTGGGTTTAAAGCGAAGCTCCAATAAATAACAAAAATGTTTCTCTGGGTGCCAGAAAATATATTGAAATTTGAGCTGATACTGGCCAAATGCTGGTATGAGGTATGTGGTAACTTCAAGATACTACTAGAGGCATGAGGGCTATTTTAATTAGAAACTTGCAGGTAAGTGGCCCTCAAAATGGTGGTTTCTGTTTGAATATTACTTTTTGTGTGTTATAGAGCTCTATAATAATTCTTAAGTGTAAGCATAGTTTGCAAAGGGTAGAGTAGTGCTAACAATCTGCTCTTCATTTGCTTTTCCTTCTTGCCAATTCAGAATGCTACTTTGTCAGCTTGTGTGCTGGTTTGTAGGAACTCCTTCATTCTTCAAGTGTGACAGTATAGGCACAGAAGAGCGGATGAGCTGTAAATACAGCTTGGAGCACATTTAATTATGGGAAATGAAACATTAATATCTCAGGATAATTGGAGAAAAAAATACCATCTGGGTGTCAGTGTTTTTCTCCTTTTGTGTTATCTCAGAACTATTTCTGCAAACAGCAGTTTCCTCCGCCAAGTTAATATTGAGCCACCAGAACGGAAATCAGCAACATTACTTCTTTATTTACTTATGTTGAGAATTGGAACTGAATAGAAATATTTCTTCTCAGAAGTTGGCAGGAACAGCAGCAAGGCAATCTGTTAAGGATGACAGCCACAGTCTCTTTTCTTTCTCTTTTAAAATAATAGAGTCTATTCAGAATGATTTTCTAGAGTAAAATCATCTATATTTCTGATTATTCATGATCCTAGCAGAGCTTACATTTTACATACTAAAAAGATGAAAAAGGGGTTGGATTTAACAAATATCATCACACTTATCTGTTACATTCTTATTAATACTGAAGAAAGGTAATACAAAATTCTACCAAGTAACTTCACCCACAAGCACAGGATAGCCATATGGGAAGGTGGCATTTGATTTTCCCTTTTGAACTCTCTGTTTTCCAGCTTAAGTGCCAACTACTGCATTGAGAATAGAAGGCATAAAATTATGGGAAGCTTAAAAGTGGATTGCATTCCTAAACTTCATAAATTCCTCCTTGTCTTTTGCCTTCACAACACAGTTATGCCTCTCTTCAGTCCTTCCCTCACACTGTCTTTTATGTAGTTTGCTGTTTCTGCCCCCACCTCCAAACTAGTTTGTAAATTCCTGAGTGGGATAGTGTCTAGCTCACTTGATCATTGCTTGCAGCACCGGGTACTTCATCTTTTATATGATGGTTCCCTGATTTAACAAATCAGGCTAGAATAGTCATAGTCATTCAGTCCTATCAGTGCTACTGAGGAGGAAAACAAAAAAAAAAAGGAATGATCATAATGGATGCAGTTTTTTTTTTTTTTGCAAGCAGCAGAAACCCATTCAAACTGACTTAAGTAAAAGGAGATTTAGTATGTGGAAATAAGTTAAGGGTATCCCAGTCACAGAGACAATTTGTACCCTCACTCTCCCCTCTGTTTCTGTCACCTTGAACACACACCTTTGCCAGTGTTTTCTCCAGCTGCTCAGTAGCCTCTTCTGTGCAAATGGGTTGTGTCTCTTACTCCAATCAGAAGTCTTTGTGTTCAGGATGCCAAACGTATGAGTATGAAGTGTCAAGTATTCACTAGACAGATAAGGCTATATTATCAGACCTGTTTCTCTCTTGGCTTGAAATCAGTACCAGGCTGCTTCTGCCAGCTTTGGCCTAAGAGCAAGACAGTCATAATGCTTTTCTAGGCCCAGTCTCATTTCATTTCATTTCTGTGAACTTCTAGTAGAGGTAAATGGCTAGGACTGTATAGAACAGGAACCACAAATGTGACTATATGGGCCATTTGTTTTCCACACTCCAGTGTATAAGGAGAATAGAGGTGGATGGCGAGAACTGCCTGGTGGCCACAGTCATGACTCAGTTACTTTTGCACAGAGCCTAATCTTTTTTCTACTATCTAACCATTTCCCCATTTGCTTCCTTATTTGCATATTCAGTCTTCATTTTTGTGGTTTTAGTTTTGAATAAAAATGTTTATTTCTCTTTTTCAAAAATTGCTGATAGAGTCAGGAAGTTGCATTCTGTCAGAAGTCAGAGCAGTATGTATGAGCCTCTCTTCCCCCTTGCCTCTCTCTCCCTCATTTCTTTTCTCTCCTCTTACCACTCTCCCTTCTCCATCCCTGTTTTCCCTTCTCTCAACTTCTCCTTGTATGTAGCCCAAACCTGACTGCCTCAACCCACTTCTCTTCCTCAAACCACAGGTGGCTTAATTCTAAATGCCAAGCATAAAGATTCTGATTAGCTTAATTAGCTAATGAATTGGCTTTCTCCTGGACCCAAGAAGGTAGAGGCAGGGCAGGACTGAAAAAGGGAGCCACAGACTAAGTATATCACAGGGAAGGCTCTCTACCACAAACTCAGGACACATATAACATCATGGTTGGGATCCAAGCTCCGTTTGCCATGCCTTTTTAATCCATATTATTGCAAAATATTTATTTGCAATGAGAAGGAAAATGTGAAGCTTAAGTTAAAAATTGAAACTGCTTAGTGGTGTCCCTCCCCTGCCTCACAAACACACACACAAGATTTTTAAATGGCTGTATGGTATACTGAGTAAAAGTGCATCCTAGCTGACCACTGGTGGTTCACACCTGTAATCCTACCTCCTTGGGAGGCAAAGATCAGGAGGATCATGGTTCAAAGTCAGCCCAGGCAAATAGTCCATGAAACCCTATCTCAAAAACACCCAACTCCAAAAAGGGCTGGTGGAGTGGCTCAAGTGATAGAGCACCTGCCTAACAAGCTTGAGGCCCCAAGTTCAAGCCCCCGTACCTCCAGAAAACAAAAAACGTACTTCATAATGATTTAACTACCAGGTGTCTATTTTAGCCAATATCTGAAAGAACTGTCAATAATGATAGCAACTATAGCATATTCAGTGATTACTATTGCTAGACTGTATTTCATTTAGATTTCACAATATCCTGTAAGAATAAGTGCTATTATTTTTCCCACTTTAAAGATGAAAGCACTGAGGCATAGAGATTAAGTCACTTGTAAAAGTTACAGGGCTGGTTAGAATCAGAATCATAATTCCAATCCAGGAAATCTGGCTCCAAAGTCTGTACTCTGAAACTCTGTGCTGCCCTCACTTTATTGGGTGATAGGCTTTCAGTTTACACTGTGCCAGAGTAAACTAAATCCAGAATGGAATATGAGTGATTATTTCTCACTTACTGGAAGTGTTCAAGCAGTGGAGTATCATTAGAGGAAAAGAGGAACTATGTTAGTTGTCTACAGATGTCAGTCTACCTCAGAATTACCTAAGGAACTAATTAAAGCCACAAGTTCTAAGGACAAAACCCACAGGTTCGTACTCACTAGATCTGGAGTGGGACCCAGGAATCTATATTTTTAGCAAGCTCCCTCAGTAACTGTGATATACGACCTGGTTTGGAATCTCTGGATTTGTTGATCTTTTATTCCCACCATTGTCTTGTAGGACAAGATAATAAATGGAGACGTTAGGGGTTGGGAGTCAGTTTGAAGAAGACTGTTACAGTCTTTTGAGATTGTTAATATTGGCTGTTTTTTGTCTCAGAGAATGTAAGTGCTAGTAAACATATGGTAAAGTAATTACGATCCCTATTGCATAGCATTCAATTTATAAAGATCCATCACATACTTTATCAAGTTTAAGCCTGTCTCCATCAAATATTTATTGAGTATGTGCTAGTTATGACAATAAAACATACAGTTCCTGTGCACAGAGCAGCATGTACCAGAACCAGATGAGTAGTATAGGTGATGAGGTCAGTCAGAGATGCTATCCTGTATCTAGGTAGGCAATGGTACCTTGTAGAAGGGAGAGCTGGGCCTTGAAAGAAGGCTCAGGGAAGGTGCATAAAAAAGTCCCTTGTAGCAGTAATGCTGTGCCAAGCCTTCTGTTTGTTTCTCTTCCCCCACTCCCTAACCCTTGGTACTGGGGATTGAACCCAGGGCCTTGCCCATCAAGTGCTCTACCACTGAGCTACACCTCCAGCCTGAAGTATGAGGACACTGCCCAGCAGCCCTCTCATGTGGAGGCTGCTCATTGCCCCAATGCTATGAGATCTCAGAGCAAGGAGGATGAGTATTTCCTCTTATTTCCATGCTATATTCTCCTATACTAGCTGCCTTGATCCTGGAGGACATGACCGTCCCCACAGATGAGCTTTCCTTCTAAGTCATTCAGTTCTTGAACAAGTATCTCCTTTACCTACTTCAGTCACTACAGTTCTCAAAATCCATCTCTGATTTCACCATTAGAATCAGGAATCAAACCCAGCATTGCCTGCCTACCTGAATTTGGTAATGAGACCTACTGGTCAGGAACACAACTCCTAGTTCTTTTTCCTGAACGCCTCCTGACCAGTGTCCCATCTGCTTTCTCTTTCTCCTGCTCGCTATCTGGAGCATGCCTACTCTTAATTCTTGTTTAACCCTCAGGTCTGCTGCACACCTCACTTTCTCAGGGAGACTTCTGCAGTGAGTTTAGCTCTCTGGGTTGGATCCTCCTGTAGTATCCTGTATTGCCCTGTGGGTGGCATTGAACATGGCTTGTATATATTTAATTAGTGTCTCTATCCTCTGCCAGACTGAGCTTGTGAAGGCTTGAGATTGTATCTGTAGGACAGTAGGTGGGCACACAGTGAGTACTTAGTTGATACTATCAAATAAATGAAAATGTGTATCTCTACTCAAACCCAGTACAGGGAAAGGTGGGAAGATGATAGCAGGATATGAAGTGAGGTAGTATTAGAATACACTGGAGTCAGAGAATTTTTGTTTGATTTGGTTTGGGTTTCCCTACAAAGAGAGCAGGCCTCCAGCTCTACCTTAAGCAGTACTTCCGAAAGTTAGTAATATCACTTTGTCTTCATTGTGCTTATGACAAGTTGAAGTAAAGGAAGAACATAAACAGTAATAATTTGGTACCTTGCTAAGAAAAAAAAATCATGACAGTAAAAGGAATGAATGAAGTTTGGAAAATGCTGACTTGGATGAAGCCATGGGAACTCCTTATCAAAATCCTGATGAAAACCTGGAGCACTTTTTCAGCATACTTGCAGTGCATTATCATTGAGAACCATTGAGGAAAACCTGGAGCACTTTTCACATGCTTCGAGTCCATTTTACCATTGAGAACCATTCGTCTAGAATCAAGGACAAAATCCTATCCACTAGTTGTTAGACATTTTATAGTGAAAAAGAATTTAGGAACATACATTATCAAGCCCCTATCACAGTGCCTGGTTTATGGTAAATGTTTTTTGTTTCTCCTTATTGCCCCTTCTTATAAGAAAAAAACCAGCTTTTAATTCAGATTTTTACTAATTTCTAGCATAATCCTAATGAGCAAGTCACTGTAAAGTTTACAACTTAGATTAAATAATTTATTTGATCCCCTCCAGTGCCCAAATCTGTTTCCTTCAGTGTTGTTTTGGTAAGGTTTTTGGACAAAGTAGAAGTAAACACGTGATTTTTTGTTTTACTCTAAATAATCTATCCTTAAATTTTAAAGATTTAGAAGATTTTTTATTGTCATTATTCAACCATCCTTTCAAGGTCTAATGAAAATTAAATGACATTTAAAACTTCTTGTAATTCAGACTTTGAGGAGTTTAATGACAAAATACAATGATCCATTGCTTTTATGTCCTATGACCAAGCAGCCTTCATGTGAGTATAAAGAGCATAAATGGCATTTCCAAAACTAATTATTGTGGAAATAATAATAAGCTTTACAAGAAGCTTATTAGAAGTATAAATTGAAACTTTTCTTTGAGACTCAGTGATTTGAGAGGAATCAAATTAGCAGGAATGCTATAATTATAAACAGACTCTTAGACTGGGTTTTTTTCTTTTTCTTTTTTTTTCTGCTTTTCATTTATGATATTTTGTTCTTTTAAACTTGTCTGATCTATAGTTTTATATTTGCATTTCTGCCAACCACATACTTATGATATAAGGTATTCCATTAGCTAATTTTACTAGACTTTGAACTAGAAATTTAGTATTCTTATATACTGTTAAAATACACTGTATTTTGACTCTTTAATTTTGAAGAAACTACTAATGAGAAGTTCTTTTGTCTAACATTTTTGCCCAAGAAGTAGGTTCTATAGCCTGAGAAGTTCAGTATCTCTGTTTATACAGTTAGCGCAGTTTTCTTTCTAATATTGAGACAAAAGTCCATCTCAAGCATCCCTGCATTATTTATATTTAATATATGTATATACTCAGATTAAGCAGATTTTGAACTCTATGGTTGTGATTATGATGTGCCAGTTGATTTACATTATTGATATAACAAGTGGTAGTTGTGCAGGTTGAAATAAAAGATCATCAAGCTAAACATTTTAGCCTTTGTTACATAGAATTTGTCAGAGTGAAATAGAATCATAGCATTTCAGAACTAGAAGGGCCCTTAGAGATTATCTTACCCAGTTTCTCATTTGACAGATGAGAAGCAGAAGCCCAGAGAGAATGCTTCTTGCCAAGGTCATACCACTAGTTAGTAGCAAAGCTAGGACAGAATCTAGGCCTGCTGTTTCCCAATTCAGTGCTGCTTCTACCATTCCTGTGTGAGATTTTTAGGTGGTGTTCTCTAATCATTCCCTGATGTGAGCACCAATTATTTAATCAACTTTATATATATTCATTTCTAGAACATACAGCCTTACCCCATTATGAGTCTCAGTTGGTTAAACTTTATATTTGCCTTTCTTTTAGATTGGTCTCCATTCATCTCTTTAATCTTGAAGACTTCAAAATATATTTGGATCTACCACCTTTTTTTTTTTTTAAAGAACTTCTCTACCAAGCAATAAGTCATCCACTGTGTTCTTGTTATAGCATAGCTCCTTTTGAGTTTTCCAAGTCTAAACAAGATTTTCTTTCATTTTCCCATGAAGCCACATTATTGCTTATTCATCTTAGTGGTAACTGTTACTGTGCCAGCTGCTTTTGATTTGGAGGATGTGGACTTCAACCAAATGGCCCCACCAGAAGCAAATCGCAGTTCTTACAATGCATCATTTCTCCCAAGCTTTGAGCTCTCAGCAGGTTCCCATTCAGGTGATGATGTCATCATAGCCAAAGAGGGAACTAGTGTTTCAATTGAATGCCTTCTCACAGTTGGTCACTATGAAGATGTTCGTTGGTACAACTCAAAAGGACAACAACTCGATGGTGGAGACAAAGGTAATTATGTCAGGTTGTAATTAATTAAGATTACTCATTCTTCTTGGTTTTATAACATATTTAGCAAGAACTCTCAAAGATGAGATACCATGGTGAATAAAATCTTTTGAAAGGTCTAGAGTGTTACACCTATCAAAAAGAACAAAGTAATTATAATTATTTAACTAGAAGAGAAAATAAATAATAGTTATAAATTTAAAAGGTATTCATATGACGATAGCAAGTTATTTTCCTTCTTTGTAAGTTGGATTCCTTCTTCATTGAAGGTCAGCTAAATGGAAGCTACTACATTCAGCTGTGCAGCCAGTGCATTGTACATTTCCAGTAGTATCATTTACCTCGATGGTAATGTGAATACTACAGTACTGCAGTATAGAGGCCCTATGTGAGTACATGAAGAAGAGTTTTGGCTATACAAGAAAACAAAAGTGTATTGTTCTGAAGTAAGTTACTATAAATGTTAGAGGAAATCTAGGACTTTTTTTCCAAGACAGGGCCAGTCTGACCTACATAGCAAGTTCCAGGCCAGCCTAGGATATCTATATATAGCAAGACCCTATCTCAAAAAGAAAATAAAGTTTAAAATTTGAGAATAAAATGAGTTATGTCATCTCTTAGTATCCTAAGGGATTGGTTCCAGGACACCGCCCCGCCCCCCCCCCCCCACAATAACATAATCTGCAGTTACTTAAATAAAATGTAGTATTTGTATATAACCTATGCATATCCTCCCAGATATTTTAACAACCTCTACATTACTTATAATACTAACAAAGTATAAATGTTATGCAAATAGTTACATTATCTTAATTAACAAAAAAAAGTTTGCACATGTTCAGATGCAATTGTTTTCCTGAATACTTTCACTTAAGTATTCACTTTGAATCCAAGGATGTGGGGACACTGAATAAATGTATGCCTAAAACTTTGAGTCCCTCTGAGAATTAGAAGGGGAGTATGTTCTGTAAGCCCTTCCAGCTCATTGTTTTTATTCTATACTTTAATTTACCTGAAAATAGGAAACTTTCTCTTCTTTTTTTTTATTTCTGTCTTAAAAATTACACAAACATACTGATAATTCAACCAGTGTTTACTTTTTTATCTTATTCTGCTATTTGTGGACCTGTAAACACACATTTTCATTCATATTACTGTTCTTTAACCAGTATTCTGTACAAAGATCTTTGTGACAAATACTTGAATTGCAAAGTACCTCAAATAGAAATTACCATGAAAGCCAGGACATGAAGATTAAATTCTAGGATGCGTGTACACACTAAACTTTCAGAAAAAGGTTACCTTATTTTTCTGCTAGAAAATGAACCTAACCTCTTGAAATATGAAGGATATTGGTGATGATTATTTACATTAGGATAGAAAATAAAAAAGGAGGCAAGTTTTCATTTATTTATTTTCTGTTTATTAATGTTTCCTTTGAGGATTGGGGGGTATGGCTCAGCTACTAAAAATAAGTAGCACGCTTGTCTAGCATGTGTGAGACCCTGGGTTTGATCTCCAGCACAGCAATACTAAAAAACAGAAACAAATATCAAATATATATATATAAATATATATTTATAAATATAAATGTATATTTATAAATATGTAAATATATATACATACATATATATATTTTTTACACAGCGGTTGATGCCCATAATCCTTGCTACTTGGGAGGCTGAGATCAGGAGGATCAAGAATTGAGGTCCAAGGCCAGCCTGAGCAAGTAGTTGGCAAGAGCCTATCTCCAAAATAACCAGAACAAAATGGGTTAGAGGTGTGGCTCAAGCAGTGGAGTGTCTGCTTTGCAAGTGTAAAGCCCTGAGTTCAAACCCCAGTCCCACCAAAAAAAAAAAGTTACGTGTGCATGTATACATATATACTAACCACTTGAACCTTCTGCCTCCTACAGACTAAGTGATCACTATGGAATTAAAGTTAAGTTTTTTGGGGTGGGGGGTTTGGGGGTACTGGGGTCTTGAACTCAGGGCCTACACCTTGAGCCATTCTACCAGCCCTTTTTTGTGATGTGTTTTCTCGAGATAGGGTCTCATGAACTATTTTGCTCAGTCTGGCTTCCTACTGCGATCCTCCTGATCTCTGCCTCCTGAGTAGCTAGGATTACAGGCATGGGCCACCAGCACCTTGTGGGATTGAACAGTTTGAACTGTTAAAAAGAACAGAGTAGTCAGGCACTGGTGGCTCACACTTACAATCTTAGCTACTTGGGAGGCTAAGTTTGGGAGGATCAGGGTTTGAGGCCAGTCCAGGCCAAAAGTTCGTGAAACCCCCACATCTCAACCAATAGTGGCATGTGTCTGTCCCCCCAGCTATAGCAGGAAGCAAAAATAGGAGGATTGAGGTCCAAGCTGTCCTGGGCAAAAAAGTGAGACCCTATCTCCAAAATAACCAGAGTAAAAAGGGCTTAAGGCGTAGCTCAAGCTGTAGAGTACCTGCCTAGCAAACACAAAGCCCTGAGTTCAAACCCCAGTATTGAAAAAAATAAATAACAGAGAACAGAGTATTTTTAATTGGCTTATTAAAAATACAGTCCTATTCAATCAGAAGCTAAGAGTGGTGCCCAGAATGTATGTTTTGAACCTGATTATGACCTACCAAACTAGATTCCTCTGTAGTGGAAGAAGCACTCTCGGATTTGAATTATTCAGAGTGATCCTTATAGACTGGCTGCATAAACAAAAACAGCCAGTGGAATGGTAACTTCATTTTCCTGTTTCCCTTTACTTTGAAAACCACTAACATCTATCATTGATGCTTTCAATAGCAGCTCTGGAAAATTGTATTACATTTTATGAATCTCAAGTGAGAGGAGTTTAAAGAGCATGTCAGTCTAGTATAAGGTTCATAAATCTTGAGCAGTTATCAGCAAGTGAACTGGAGTTTAGATTGTAGTTTTAGTACAGTGGTTGATTAATGGAGTCTATGTATCTCATCATCCCTTAGATTCAAAGGGTATCCTTTTCATAGCTCCACGTTCATAGAACAGAAGCTTATAAGGTATTATCTATATTCATAGCTACATATGTTCTTTTTTTGCATAAGTGAAGTGATAAGTACTAAAAATAAAAATAACTATAGAATTTAGATCAGTTTTGATGATGGTAAAAAATGGGCACAAGGTAGAATGCTTACTGAGGTCTGTGCCCCTTAAATTATCCAGAACCATAGAACCTCAAAGCATTTCTGAAGATTGGGCACTCATGTGATACTTAACGAGCACCCACGCAGCTTCCCATGGCACATCACCTCTAGTCATTGGGGTGTACACCCACACCCCAAGCTAGCTTTGATGGTTAAAGCATGGGATTCTCTGGTAATTTACTACAAAGCCTGAAATTGTACAGGCAGAGCCAAGTTATTGAAGGATAGTGAATCATCATAGGTGTGCAATATACTTTGTTTTCTCATACACTTTTACACTTCGTGTACATGTTCCCTGAATGAAGATACCTCCATGTGTAGAAGAGAGGTAGCACATTTTAAGTTTAAAGTAGAAGCCTACACAAAATTTTAAGGGCATCTTATTCTCTTTGCCAAGCTGTTCATTTTGTTCATATCTCACCCTGACTTGTGAGATACATCTTTTGGCTTGTACTTTAGTTACTCTTGCTAGAAAATCAAAGTATCTTCATCACAAACGTTTCCTAACAAAATGCAGTTAACATGCAAAGCAGATTAGCTAGTTAATAATTGAACAAATGCATTAAATTGCTAAGTATGAAAAAAAAAAACCCTCTGTGTCTTCTTATGTAAGTTCATTATGAAAAGTGGGCAAGCACAGTTAAATGAAAAAAAAAAAAGAGAGCTATCCCTCCAGTATATGAAAATGTGTAGATAGCAATGTGGTGCAGATACACACATGCATAAACGTTTCTGTAAAGGTTAGTCATGTAGATATGTTTGGACATACCTGTCTCCCTGAAAGACTCTTAAGTCCAACAGTAGAAAAAGGAAATGATGGCAAATATTAGTGTTAGAAAGGAAGATCTTGATTTTTTTTTTTTTTTTTTTTTTTTTAGTTCCAGGCTAATTGAGTTCTGGCTCTGGACATAACAATCTGGCCATTTTTTTTACATTATTTAAATAAATGAATCAAACTGATGAGTTAAAATGCTTTTATAAAGCAGTAGAATACTGATAAGGCAGTTCGCATACTTAATATTCATTATGCTGTAATTTTTTTCATTTCTGTTGAATTTATCAGGCGGAAAATGGTTGATTTCTGATAACTTCCTAAATATCACAAATGTAGCCTTTGATGACCGTGGGCTCTACACGTGTTTTGTCACCTCTCCAATTCGTGCCTCCTACTCTGTCACCCTACGTGTGACCTTCACCTCGGGAGACATGAGTGTCTACTACATGATTGTGTGCCTAATTGCCTTTACAATCACTCTGATCTTGAATGTCACACGGCTGTGCATGATGAGCAGCCATCTTCGCAAGACCGAGAAGGCCATCAATGAATTCTTCAGAACAGAAGGAGCTGAGAAACTTCAGAAGGCCTTTGAGATTGCAAAACGCATCCCCATCATCACCTCAGCCAAGACTCTGGAGCTCGCCAAAGTCACTCAATTTAAGACCATGGAGTTTGCTCGCTACATTGAAGAACTGGCAAGAAGCGTTCCTCTTCCACCTCTTATTCTAAACTGTCGGGCGTTTGTTGAGGAGATATTTGAGGCTGTGCGAGTAGATGACCCTGATGATATGGGAGAAAGAATTAAGGACAGACCTGCCTTGGATGCTCAAGGTAGCATCTATGTGATTAACCCAGACATGGGGCGGAGTAATTCACCAGGAGGAGATTCAGATGATGGTTCTCTGAATGAACAAGGCCAAGAGATAGCAGTTCAAGTGTCCGTCCACCTTCAGTCAGAAACCAAAAGTATTGATACAGATTCTCAAGACAGTAGTCATTTTAGCCCACCTGATGATACAGCATCCGCTGAATCCAGCCTTATCCACAAAGATGGGGCATATGAATACTGATATCAGTAAGCTAACCAGTACCTATAAAAACAGCTCTCAGGAAAAGAACCTGGTTCTTAGAGGAAATAACATTTTTACCAAAAGATGACTGGGGTTTTTCCCTTGAATATTAAGCACAGAAGACAAACTGCTAAAATCTTTGTAAAAATGCAGCATTTTTCCTGATACTTCTCAGTCATTTTCCTTAGCTTGATTAAGTGTTGCATGTTAAGATTTAAAGGAGCCTGAGTGGTAAACATGACAGGAAGAATCCCATGATTTTCTTTCTGGTCACAGTTCTTACATTGGTCAGATACAACACTTCAGTTGAGCCCTGAGTTTTCCCATCTAATGATGAGGGATTTGCATTAGATGAGACCTAATGAAAATTAGATCAAATGCTAATTATTTCTAGCCCTATAAACTGTTACATTTAAACCATAAAAATCTTAAGCATATGTTTAAGAAAACCTTCCCCTGGACTTTTAATCCTTCATTTTGCAAAGGACCAAGCTGAGACTTTATTCTGTGATCTAGACATCTCCACCAATGCCATAGCATGCAGAGTGTAGAGATTTTTCCAGTGTTCTGTCATGAAGCTACCTGTACATTTACATGTACCAGGTTGAATCTTTTCAGTGTAGCCCATGACCATGTTATACAGATAGCAGAGAGTAAACTGCACAGTAGAAAACTACTTTCCATGAGTAAAGTGGTCCTTGTTGGAAGTAAATCCTGTCTTTTTAACTTACTGAGACATTATTTAGTTCACTGAGGCTGGCAGTGATTTCCCAACTTATCCCTTCAAGTGAGCAGTCTGTTCCCAAGTAAGAACAATGTCAAATCGTCTGTCTCTGGTAAATCATGGATTTGGATGTATCTTTTAAGAATTCCTTATGCTTTCCATTTTTAAAAGTACTGGACTCTACAAATGGGTTCTGTTTTTGGGATCCCGTTCTAGGATAAAGCTGAGAACTGCATATTCCTTTTTAGACCTCTTGTCAACACTGTTGCTCTCTGTAGTCTTCAATAAGGTGCTAAAGTTTGCATGCCTCTTTGTCTTGCTTGCTTTATTTATGTTTTATTGTTAGTGATTTTATTTTTGTGTACTTCAGATATATAATTTTGAGCCAGGGCTGTCTTTGTGGCATTTCTGGGAAGCACTTAACCTAAAATAAGATTAGATAATTGCTTTTGGTATATTACTGTATTAAAATACACACAGATAATCTAGACGTAAAGAAAAAGAAACATAACGGATGATGCCACCTGATTCAACTGTGTATAATAAACACTTAGGATGGCATTTCTTGCCTGGCTAAGATCTGATATAATAGAATTGTAAATACTCTTCAAAATAATTTCTTCAGCTACAGGAAGCTTGGTGCCGTATAATTTTAAGGACTTGGCAGTGAAACTCCATTTGATGCTTCACATTTCTTCATTTGGTTTCTGGTTATTGAAGCATTACATGAACTGGAGGCTCCTGAGGGGAATTTTCAGAGGAAGTTTTATCAGGATTTTAATTTAAAGTTTCAAACAGAGAAGATAAGAAATTCAAAGTGTAACCAGTAGAATTAGTGCCTCCCTTTGTCCAGGCTTATCAGAACTGATACATCTGCTGTGGACAGCATGAATGAATCAATGTGCAGCTTTATCAGATAGCATTATGGATAAGATGATAATGCTGCCTTTTCTGTCTCTCAGGCTGTTTCCATGGAAACCTCCAGAGCCAAACAAAAGCTACCAATCATTTAGCCAAAGCTTGCCTTGGCTCATAGACATGTATTTCTTCAAGGAAAACTGTTTTCATACATTTGGCTATGAGAGCAAGGGCTCTTGAACATATCCTTTTCCCTTCCCACAGTATTTCTTTTAAAATAATAAAAGTTTCTTAAATCCCTCATGCTTGGTAAGTCTTCTGAATATCCCTGTATTCCATTGCTGCCCTAATATAGCAGGTTTGGGATCATTTCCTAGAGTGGAACTTGTTATATTAAAGACTGGTTTATCCCTCATCCTCAGAAAGGATGTTAATAGACATATTTAATAATCAAAGTCCTGGGAAACAGAACTTTGGAAAAACATAAAATACTGAAAAAAAACCTGTACGTTTACACAATACTATGAAATTAAGTAAATGCTACTCCACTGTATCCTGGATATATTTTTTAGAAGCATAATGGTAAATGCCAGGCGTGTTGGTACATGCCTGTAATACCAGCACTAGAGTGGCAGGAGCAGGAGGATTGTGAGTTTGTGGCCAGACTGGGCCACATAGTGAGACCCTGTTTCCAAAAACCAAGGGTTGGGGAGGTAGCTCAGTGGTAGAGTACTTGCCTAACAAACACAAGGCTCTGATTTCGATCCTCAGAACCACCAAAAAAAACTATAATGGTGACCTTATCAGTGGCCAAAGTAACTGGTTTACGTGGAATCTTCCAGGTTTGGTGCCCTTAAATAAGTCAGCATTTAATAGGAGTTAGTATTACTTTGTAAAGCGAGTTTTCAAGAAAAAAAAAATACTTAACATTTTCTTTATGAAATCAAGTATTCTTCATATGTAATAGTCTCATACTTTATAAAATCCTTGACCTTAAACTATAATCTAAAAGTCTTTTAACAGCAGCTGTGGTATAATTATCTTTTTTGTCTTGCCCAATTTTTTAATAAAAAATGTCTTTGACCAAGAAAATGTATTTAAAATAGTTCTGTCATCTCATTTGTAAATTTTGTATTGTCATATAATGAACCTTGTCCTTTTGAAATGAAATAGTAGTTTATACCCTACTAGTGTTTATAGGCCCTTTGGTAACTGCCTGTCCTCAAATTTGCATATTAGTTATGATGCCGTAATTCTTTCTCTTTTATTTATTTTTTTTTTTTGAGACAGCCTCACCATGCAGCCCAGGCTGGTCTTAAATTCAAGATCCTCCATTGTCACCTTCCCAAATGCCGGGATTACTGGCACGCATCACTGTGTCTGGCTTTAGGGTTTAATTCTTGAGTCAGGACCAGTGAGTATTTGTATTTCCTACCCACTCCCTTGATACCATTATCATCAGAACATCTAACCTGGAATGATTGTGAGAAGGCTCCTGGCTGCTGCTTTGCCTCCCTTAACACTGCATGCTGCTTTCCCTTCAGTCCTCCAACCTCAGTGAACCCTGTAGTCTAGTCCTTTACACCCTTCATGTGGTTTCACCCTAGATCAAATTTGATTGAGTCCCAGAGGGGCACAGGAGTACTATATGCTTCTTGTCTCAAGCCTAGCTCATCATGGTTCTGGCCTTGTCCCCATACACCAGCAGTTTTAACTCAAATGTATATAGTATTGCCCAACTCACCAGAAAGAAAATATAATCTTTTCTCATGTCAGCCAGGAATGTAGAAAATGCTCGGCCTTATGCAGAATTTCCTAGGTTCTCAGTAACACATTTCACAAAAGTAAATGAGTATTATTTAATATGATCCAGATGATGTTTAAATGTCAGCATTTTAATAAATAACTTGCATTATAATTTTGTTCTTTTTAAAGAAAAAAGTCACACTTAAATGCAATTTACTAAGTGTTCAATGGAGTGTATCTGATTTGTCTGAAATACTCTATGCAGTATATTCCATTTTTATGAATTTGATGAAATAGTACATTTGAAGTCCATTTTGTATTCCACCATGTCTACACACTTCAATATTACATTTATTTACTAAGCATCTGTGTGTTTTTGATGACAGGAGTCAGTGAGAAATACTCCATCCACAACAAGCCTCAGATAATAGACTATCCACCGTTGACCCAAACACTACAATTTCCCACTTTTTTTAACTTATCTCACATTATTCATTATGTGCAATTGTTCCCTTGATTCACATTGGCATTTTGGATAGAAATATATATTCTGTAACACAACTTCAGGTGAAACTTAAATGTCTGGCTCCATCTACTATTTTGAATTCTTTTTTTTGGTTGGGGGGGGTCGGTACTGGGGTTCGAACTCAGGCTCTTGTGCTTGCTAGACAGGCCCTCTACCACTTGAGCCACTCTGCCAGCCAATTTCCCACTTCTGAATAAAGCATTCTTGGCAAAGACAAGAGCTTCAGGAAAGGCCTAGGGATGAGTATTTAGTTCGTGTTTTGGAGAGAATGTTGGTGTATAAAATTTATCACGGGCTTTGGCAGCCAGAGAGGTAGCTCATAGAAGCAAGTATGCAGTCCCATAGGCATGAACATTGGTGATAGGAACTGAACATAGAAAAGGATAGGACCTTAGGAGAAAGGCAAAGGGAGCAGGTGGGAAGAGTAACTTGTGACAAATGCCACAGACTAAAATGCAAATCCAGCCCATGTTTTTCAATGACAAAAAAAAAAAATTACTAGACTTAGAGTCCATTGTAATCATGGACAAGTGACTCAACTTCTCTGGGCTTTGGTAAAATGGAGTTGATAATACCTAATTTGTAGCGTTAATATGAAGATTAGGAAACCACAACATGTAAGAAAGTACTGTTAGCTGTAAAGTGTTTTGTAGTGTAAGGGACTAGCAATGCAGCCATGTCCAACTGATCATTGATTGCATTTGCAGTCAACTAAAAATTCCTCCATACCTCTCTAAGAATTGTATTTGGTTCTATGCCATAGAAACCTGATTATGGCCAGGCATGGTGGCTCACACCTATAAATCCCAGCACTTGAGACTCTGAGGCAAGGAAGATCTCAAGTTCAAGGCCAGCCTGGGCTACATAGTGAGTTTGAAGAGTACCTGGGCTACTTAAGAGATCCTATCTCAAAGAAAAGAAAAACCCGACTATGATGGCTTACCAAAATAAATTTATTTTCTCAAGTGTACACGTAGGCAGTCCAAGGCTGATGGGAGAGCTCAAAGACTGGCATCAAGGACTTGGTTCCTTCTGCGTTCCTCTCTGCCTTTAGCATGACTCATTCTCATAATCACAAAGACTCCACAGTGATAGAAAGTGACAGAGTTCATCTCCAATCAGGTCAGAAAACACTCCAAAAGAGACAGAATGATGAGACAGACATTGAAAGATAAGAAGGAGGGGCATTCCATGCAGAAGAAAGAGTATGGCAAGGTTGACCTTAAGAAACAGAAGAAATAGGCCTGTGCAGTGGGAGAGAGGAGACAGAGAAGTAGGCAAGGGTCAAGAACATGGGTGGATTCAGAGTTCTTTTTGACTGGTCCCAGAAATGCATTTCAGAGGAAATACTAGAAATACCTAATTTGGAAGAAGATATTACATACTTTAGGGGAAATTTTTGATTATTTGATAGTACCAATCATTTTTTTCCTGAAGTCATCTGTAATTAAAAAACAATTCTGCTAATTTTCTTTAAGGAATTAAGCTCCTTTGGAGCCCCTTAAATTCCAGTCATATTCTTGAGATTTCATGTTTTTAATGGAACCTATTGATTTTATTTATATATATACACACACACACACACACACACATATATATATATATATGTAAATACACATATGTCACTCCATCTGCCTAGAGGATCTGTGGCTGCTGCCAGTGTGCTTATTCTTCCTGACAGTTGGGAATACTCTGCTTTGCCTCCCTCTTAACTGTGTGAAAATGAGGACTGGAGTGTCCTATGTGATAAATCAGCCCTCAAGGGTTTTTCTTCTGACAGAAGAGCCACCCCTGGGAAATAGTTTGTCCCTAAGCAGAAAGGAAGTGTGTCTGAGAGAATGTCACGGTGTGGTATAGCTTTGCATTGTGAATTTCATTGGTCCTTCTGAAACTGCAAGCAGGTAGTCCTTCCTGAAGCTATACTTCTCAGAGCCTCTTGTCCCCTTGAGCCCCAACGCAATCTGTATTCATTCAGTTTTTAACCAGATGGTGTACTCTGGACACACTACCAGGAGCAAAACCAGAGATGGTCTCTGCTCTTTTGGTACTTATACCTGTGAGAAGACAGAGCCAATTCAAACACTCCCATGGAAGTGGATAGTTAAAAACTGAGAAGTATGCTGAAGGAAGTGCTTCTGTGAGAGCCTGGATCAAAAGAACCTGATTTAATTTGGCGCTGGGAAAGAATTTCCTGAAAAGGTGATCCTTAAAGTAAGGTATTGCATGAAGGCTTATTATGTTACTTGCTCTGAACCAGGGACTATGGATTTAAGTCAGAGAACTTGCTTCAAAGGAATTTACAGACCCACTGAAAAAATAAGACATTCTTATAATAAACTATCTGAAAGAGACAATGCATCGTTAAGTGCCAAATGATTAGTACAAGAAAACAAAGGCAGAATGACTTAAAGATGAAAAGTGAGCAGAAAATGGGCAGTGCCATGTAGGCTGGGTGATATTGGAGCAGGACATGGAAAGATCATAGAACTCAGGAATCTTCCATGGTGCCCTGTTTGCTAAGCAGAAAAAAATCCAACTGCTTGACTCCAGGAACTCCCATCCTATCTTCCCAAGTTTATCTGTTGACCGTCCCCTTCATTCCTGTGGAACTATTGTAATGTATTCTCCTTTTATATTGCAGTTACTCTCTGCTTACCAGTTTGTGAGCAACTTGAGGAAATGGCATCACATGTTAGTCACCTATCTTTGTAGTCTCTTTCTTAGGATAATATCTTTCATATAGTTGCAATTATGTTGTTGCAATTAGTGGAACAGGAAGGGTAAAATTGCTATATGATATATGACCATGTCCATTGGTCAATGTAGGGATTAGGAACAAGGACTTGGAGGTGTGGCCACCTCTGGTCCAACAGCACTCACTTCCTTGGTGATATCACTCACCTCCAAGGTTTTAAATTCCATCTTCACAGTAGTGACTCCAAATGTAATTTGCAGTTCCCTTTCAGACCTGGGGATTTAACACCTCCCTACTTGGTAGCTCCAGTTGGCTAGACATCTGTAAATGGCATCTCCAAATTAATATGCCTAAAACAGAATTTGTTATTCTTTCTCCTGATTACAAAATATACACCAGTTTCTCTCCCTGTCATCCTCTGTCAGTAAAAAGCTCCACCCTCTACTCATTTGCTCCAGCCAAAAACCTGAATCATCCTTGACATGATAGAAGCAAGGATGCTTTATTCTCTGTGTCCAATAGATCAGGAAGATCCATTATCTCACCTTGAGAAAACATTTCACTCCATCCGTTACTTTTCCTCCATTGATACCATCCTAGTGTGAGACACTATCTTTACTCACCTGTACTATGTGATGTTCTTCACTGACCTCACTGCTTCTACACTGGTCCCCGTTCTCCACACTGCCACCACAATGAATTTTCGAAAGCATGTATCACATCATGTTACC